GCAAGTTAGCAGACCAGCAACAGCAAAAACGGTAGCAAAAAGTAGGATATGTTTGATGATAGTCACCCAATGATTGGTTGTTGCTTATATCCTCAAATGGGGTGCTTGGGCCTATATAAACACATAGCGTGAGTCAGCACACAAGCAACAGCAGAAACAGTAGAAGAAAGTAGGAAGTGGTTGCTGATAGTTACCCAATGGTCGGTCATTGCTTATATCTTGACATGGGGTGCGCGGCCCCGCACGATTGGGAGACGACATACCGTCGCTGTGAACATTCAAATTGAAAAAAATAGTGTAAGGAGATAAGCAGTTTTGTGTCGTCTGGGTAAGGAGATAAGCAGTTTTGTTTCCGTGTGTAAGAAGATAAGCATAGAAATCAGTAATTAGAGATGTAAAATTAATCATTGTGTTGTAGACTGACGTGATGTATCATTCTTGTGCCCTAGGTATGGTAGCCCATGTTTGCAATTGCACGGCATCTGCATGTCTTACTTTTACCTTTTCTGTATGCCTAATGTTTGATGTTCTGTTCTGAAAACTGTAATCTTGAGTGCAGGGAAGAATTACACCTGATCCAGGGTCCGTGCAGGGCGGGGGCGGCCGCACGGGTGCTGGGCGGGTTCGTGGGCACTGGCGATCTGGCGGACTTCTGGCACACTGCGAGGGGGCAGGGCAGCCTCCTGGGTGCCCGCTACGTCAAGGCAGCCTCCTGGGCGCCCGCTACGTCGATGGTGCAGGGAGGCGGCTGCATGGTGGAGTGGCGCGAGATCGTGGTCTGGAGAAGACGATGTTGGCGCAATGGTGACGGAAGGCGGAGAGGGCCATGCATGATTGGGCTAGGAGAATCAATTATTTCCTTAGTCTGGGATTAGAATTCCCCGATTGTCGGGGGGGGCGATTAGTTGGAGGGAGGGCATCCGTAGTCTCCTGGTGAAGCACAATCAGTCAATGGAAATTGGTAGGTGCACACCATACCGGTATTAGATGAATGATGGCCGTTAGATTCAGATTCGTGAGACTAATCGTGCGGTGGTGAATGGGTCGGCTGGTGTGCTGGGGGTAATTGCGGGGTGCACTTAAGAAAAATCGTGTTGGATTGTTTAATAGTAGTGGAGATGGAGAAACAGCGGAAGTACATAACTTTTGACTCCTATAAAATGCTGGAACAAAGTTACACTCAAAAGAGATGCAATTTGCAATTCTGCCCTGCGCTATTTTCTAAAGTATAAATCACATTTTATAGCATGGGATAATTAACACATAAGTCACTAGTCATTATGCCATCATAACACTTTGCTAATGGGTCTTTACTAACTGACGGGTGAGAAGTATTAACACGATAGACTTAGACTTTTTTTAACATACACTCATCTCTATGAACACATTACCCTCTGAACACATTCAAGAGACTGAGCCGACATATCATCTTGAAATTTACGAAGTCAAGAAAAAGAAATATTAACAGGCCAAAGTTTGGACCATCGATATGACATCCGACCAGTAACGGACCTAATCTTTAGCGGTTCAACCCATCAATTATTATCTACACACTAGTGATGGGTGTGCTATTTGACCCGTTACTGGTTCCATAGGTCCAACCCACTTTTGAAAGCCCAAACTCAACTACTAAAAACATCCCCCAAGGCCCTAGCTACTCCCCATTTATCGTAATCTCTTTTTTTCCTCCACTCGCAACGCTATTCCGTCCCTACCATTCTCGATGTACCGTCCCCATCGGACAGACAGCCAACCTCTTGTCGTTGTCCCTAGCCCATCCTTCTCGTCACCTTCCTCATACTCTACTTCCTCTCCCTGCATCCCCTTCCTCTCCCCACTGTAGGTCAATGTGATAAACACCATTGCAATCGTACGTGTTGGAGTCGTGAGCCAGTACACCGCCACCACCTCGTTGGTCATGTCATGTGGGACAACCTCGGCTACGGTGTGGGGACATCATCGACTTCAATGGCGTCTCCTTGACACGTTGGTGGTGCTACGAGCTCGGCCACGTCTCATCGGCCAGATGTTTTTGGCTTTGAACCGAGACAATCACGACTTTGGCACTACAAGCTTCCACACTTACGACTCCTTGACTCCATGCGCAATGACGATCCAGAGGCGATGCGCGGCAACACCGACAACACCGACAACATGCATGGGTTGAGTGGACTAGGCTTGCGAGCCTCACCACTATTTTGTAATTAATTGTGGAAAATAATAAATGTGTAACTGAAATTCCAATTGGTTTCTTTTATGAGAAAATATGATTAGGGGTTCTTATATTTACTAGTAGCATCTGTCGTACACATGTTGGTGCATAGAAATAAGCACGTATCAAGTTAAACCCCTCACATGTCTATATGCTCTATAACATAATTAATTGATAATTCATATACACATTATGTCCATGAATTCAAGCATCCAATAACATGCAATTCTAACCCATAAGGATCCCGGGCAACTTCGCACCAGGGGGCTCCCCCAATTTGGAGCTTCGTTGGCCGTTGGATCCTGGTGAAATTGTTCTTTAGTCATCTCGTCCGTTCGATTTTCGTTGATTGTTTTCACTGTGTGGTTGTTTTCCTCGATCAATGACTGGTGGCCTCGTCCCATGTGCACGTTGGCTGGCTGAAACATTCACGGGTGCGAAGAAGCCTATCCTTGCGGGCCACGGGTCTCGCTGCCGGCATGGGCATGCGGTGATGCCCATTGGGCACAACCCCCACAAACCCTAGCCTCAG